ATCTAGAATATTAGAGTAATAAAGAATAGTATAAAATTATATATAATATATATAAAATATATATTAAAATGACAAAAAGATAAAGTATGATTATAAAGATATGTATGTTACAGAGATGCCTTGGATGCGCTAGGTCTGAAAAGATACTGCTGTCGTAGGATGCTGCTTGGACATGTAGATTTAATTGAAAAATTACTTAACTATGCACCGCTAGAGAAATAAATTTTATTTGTTATGCCGACATTATTGGATCTTTTTTGAACATTCACAAGATGTATATGTAACTCCATAATGTATACTGAGAAAACGATTAAAGTTATTCTATTGTATAGTTTTAACATTTTATATTTTAATAATGCGCTTATATAATAAATATAGCTTATAAGTTTACAAGGAAAAAAATAAAAGAATGTTTTATTTGTAAAATATTCAAATTATTTATCTTTTAATTGGTGATGATAACAAAACATAATTCGATTACAGCATTGATATTTTATGTAAAATCTATTCATATTACAATATTACATATATGATATTTCATGTAAGACAAAAAATGGAAAAATGATTTGAGGAATAAAGCTGTCTTTACAAAATATAAAATCATTTATATTTTATGTAACTTCAGCCAGTGCAATGCGTTACAAATAGCAAGTTTCATTTATATCGATATAAACGTTTATCCGTTTATAAAAGAGGAGGAACAGTATATTACGTGTCCCTTATGTAATCTATGATGTAAAAATACAAAGTGAAACGTTCTCGCAAATGTATAGTAGAAGAATGAATTTGGACCCAAATTTGATTAGCTGCTCTAAGTATGCTACTGCTATTATATATGCAGGAAATTGCATTTGGACCCAAATTTGATTGGTTGTTTTCAGTATGCTATCACTCTTATATGCAACGTTTCGCCTTATCTTATTACACCATACATTTACACCATACAATTCGGAAAAGTATATTTTGATGTTAATTTTAAATGCAATGCAGGAAGGCTGTGTGATACACTTTGTTTGAGCAATATATTTTTTTTTCACAGATAATACACATTCGTTCATGTAAACTGTAGTTTTTGCGGTTCCAAATTCTTAAAACATCTTTTTTAAAATATGTTAATTTTTATATTTTATAATATAATATTTTTATAATATTAAAATACAAACTAATACAATATTAAATTGCAACATTTGAGCGAAATTAATAAAATTACGCGCGACACGTTATTTTTTTTATCCATATCTTTTTATAAGAGATTATGTAAAAATAATTTCTGTAAATTGGTAAATTAGCTAAAAATTGATAAATTATCTAAAACTTCTTTAATTACATTTTGTATAAATGCAGAACTTTTATATAAAATTAAAAACATGCCAATAATATAAAAATTATTTCCTACAGAAATTTCACGCATTCTTTAGTATACATTCGTACATTACGCTCACGATAATTCATTATTTTGAATTTTCTGTTAAATGAATACTGCTGTTGCCCCTAAATCTAAATCTGCTTTTAATTTCTGTCCTATAAAATATCCGTATGTTATTTTAAAAATTAATTAAAAAATTGTATAAGTTTTTTATACAAGTATAGAAAAAAATACACTGATTTTCCTTAAAAAGATCCTATTAAAATCGTGGATCTAAAAAAAATTCATATTTATAAGAGTCTGAAATCTCAAAGTATATCAGAAAATTTGATCTATATACAATTTAAATACATTTGATTCTGTGAAATTCCAATAAAATCTGCGAGTATATAATATATATTTAATACCGTTAGTCATACCATGGATAGATCTAAATTTGGTAAAAAATTTTGTTGTATATCATAGAAATATTTGTACTAGATAAAAAACGGAAAATGTTTTGTCTATCAAGCATTATATAATTTTACTATATCCATTATAGCACTACGTGATCCAAATATTAATGCCATCAGACCTATCACGCATATAATTACATTCTTTAAGGCTACCCAGTTTCCTGGTCCGAAGCCGACATCCCAGTACGTTACGGTCTCAATGAAAACTGGAATAAGAAGGCCCAAAATGGAGAAACAAAATGCACCAATTAGGCCGATGAATGGTTCGATTGTCGGTACGGCCACAGCAAGGATAACTGTATAATACGAATTATTCCATAATACATCATTAATTTTTGTACTTAGAAGATATTTTAAAAATATATAAGATCTCGATATACACATACCTGCACCTATTACTAGCACCGTCCTTACGAAGTAATTGGCTAAAAGCGGCTTCTTCTCAAAACGATGTTTTACACCGTTCCATGCAATATCGAGGCACACGTAGAATTGTAAACCAAAAGTACAAAAGACGGCTAAGGCAATCAATATCTTCACAACTTGTGCCGCTCTGTAAAGTAGTTACCGATATAGAGATAAAGAAAATCAAATTGAACATATGCTGTTATAAGAATAAAAGTTTACAAATTCTTACATTTCTTCTGTTGGTAGATTTAGAGTGATACTACCCAGCGTCTCATCCTGATATTTAGCATATCCGAGAAACCCAAGAAAAATATATACAAGCGTAACACCAGACATTCCTTTGTTGAGAACTCCGCAAATTCCTACAAAGTGTTGCGGCGTCTTCATGCTGTTCTCCAGAGGCATCACTACGCCAATCGCTTCCATAGCAAAGATAGTGATGCTGAAAAACTGCGGGAAGCTTTCGATTGTAGCTACTAAAGGCACTGAGGACAATGGCGGCAAATCCCAAACGAGATAGTAAAATGTTATTCCCAGTCCTGTTCCCATAAAAATGTTCGCCACCATCGAAACTGGCGCGAGATACTTCAAGTCGGGTATCCAACTAAGAAGGATCAGCGGAATCAGCAAATAAGCAGTGATCAAACGGATATTGTATTCGCCAACATTAACATCTTGATAATGCTCGATAATTTGCTTGATATTAGCGGCCACGATTACTGCGTACACACTGCAGGTACCGTAATATGTAGTAAATAAACTAATCTGTATGAGATATCTGTAAACAAACGAGAAATTCGCTAATTAAAAAAGTTGCTAAAGAATTAATCATATGTTCGAAAAACAAAGTTAATAACCTGGAAGGTTTCGCGAACTTTCTTGCCCATTGAGGTCCGGTACTAAAAGCTGTTTCAGCAACTTCAGCAAATCCCATTTCTGCTTTTCGAGTTTTGTAATACAGCACATGCGCACATTTGACCTGAAAATAAGATACGTTAATCAATCTTAGCTTATGAAAGATGAAATCAAGCTATCTATAATGATAACTACTAAATATGAATCTTTATCTCCAAAAACTCACCAGAATATATGCGCAATGCGTGCATACGAATGCAACGAGAATCGTGGCAAAGATACCTAAAAGCAGTCCAGCACTCTTAAAAGCTATGGGCATAGCTAGTATTCCAGTGCCAAGAGAAGCTTTTAATAAGTGCGTTAACGTATCGCAATCCCTGAAGATATCATAATATAGTTGCTTACACATTAATCACGTCAATCCAACTCATTAAAAATTAACGACTAAGATAAAAATATATATAATATATATCACAAAATTCGCTTTATAGATATAAAAGAGTACATAAAAACACAAAGTTAAAACAAAATATATGCGTGTGTGTTACGAGATTATTATTAAAGAATGATGTTAATTCTTACGTTGTCGGATTGTCGACTTTGCGTTCCGCAAAGGGATCGAAACTTTTCTCATCACCCAGTGCGGCTTCAACATCACGTGGTGTAACTTGTACTATATATCTGAGAGTTAAATGAATATAAAGCTTTTAGTAATTCGCATTTTGCACGTTTTGTATTATAAATCACATGTTATTCTCTCGATTAATGTTTTCAATAAAATTAATCGGAGTCTTACTTGGCGGACAGAACGCCATCTTTAAGATTGGATCCATCTTGAGGCAGAAAGGTATCCAACTCTGTCGGTGGCTTCTCATTTGCGTTAGTCTATGTTAAAAATAAGATACCATGAATAGTGTTTATTGTAATGAGATGAGATGACATCAGTAGCGTGAATGAGTTGCGCAAGATAATTATGACGCGAATAAATTATAAAAATATGCAATAACAGAATTATATTGCAAGATGGATGCTTACCGTTGTAGGCATGTTGTTGACGTATTATTTGTGCGTCACCTGAAATATATACAACAAAACAATCAATATTTTGATTATATTGTTTTATTTTAAAATTTTAAACGGATTTAACAAATTTATAAGTACGTTATTATAACACAAATTTTATTTATATACTTTATCATTTTACCTTATCATTTACCTATTACATTATATTGACGTTATTGCGTATTTTTAAAATATTATGATTTCAATAAATTGACAGAATTCCTCTCGATATTTGTTACAGATTAAGTTCATTTATACGTACATTCTTATCTTTGAACACACCTTGAACTTTGAAACGTCTGTGATGTAAAAAAACGGCACATATAAGATAATTCCCGCTTTACAATCGACAGTGTCGTTATTTTTGCTTATGACAAGTGAATAGATGTGTAAATTTGTTATGCAAAATTGTTACGGTTTACTTCACGCGTTTTTACTGGCTATACATGGATTTGTCGCTATTGTAAAAGGACATTATGACTCACACTTAACATTATTCTAACTTATTGTCATCATTGTTATAGATCTTCACGGTCTTCAATTTAAGATAAATCGAAGAAATGAAAAACTTAATGTAGAACGCACGCGGACAGAAATGCCTATCAATCTGAACTCGCCGAAGTATCGGAACGTATTCAAAAAATGTTTCTCTTTGAATATTCATCATGAATGTGCATTATGATTCATGACTGATAATTATTAGCGTATTAATAATATTATTAATAAATTATTAATAGCGTATTATTAATAAATTAATAACTGTTATTATAATTAGAAAAATAACTTTTATATCATATTTTTATACAAGGGTATACCAAATTAAAATTTTTTTAGGAGAAATGGATAAATTTAAGAAAAAAGTCTTTGTAGAGATTTGCTTATTTTTTGCTTCTATTATATATATAAAAAAATCGCAAAAAATAAAAATTTTTTATGAATTTTTTGCTTAAATTTTGCATTGTTGTAAAAGCCCAACATTTTAACAATGCCTTTATTTAAAAAATGACAACATAAATCTAAACAATTAAGTAAAAAATGAGCAAAAAATATGAAATCTTTCTTGTGCTATTAGATTTCTTTTGAATAAAATATTTTTTTAAAGAAAATTTTTATTTTTCGTTTATTTATTATTTATATATAACTTACGCATATTGTTACTTCCTTAATGAAAATATTGTTCAAAATGTAGGCACATGCAAAATTTCGAATTAAAAATTTTTGATTTTATATATTAATATAAATATTAATAAATAAATATATATTAATGTTAATATTATTCATACTAATATTGATAATATACTAATATCATTTTTATTCTTAATATTGTCTTATATTGATATTATTAATTTATGTTACCGTTTTTCAAATAATTATCAGTATTCATAATGCATGAATGTGTACACTAGAAAAATAATGCCATAAACACATAAACATGAAAAGAAATACAAGAAAATTTAAAATAGCGATTAGATTCCGTGTAAAATTTTTGACTTTTTCACATGTTGAGAATTGTATTAGAATGTCAAGCACGATTAGATACTTAAATTGCGTTGTATTCGCCGTAATTATGTTAAACGAGATTGTATTGTACATGTGAAAGAGCGTTAACTTTACCACTTCCGGGTTCGCGAACTCGACTTTGCTTAGATAAAGTAAACAATCGTACATATGTGCAGAGGTTGATAAAATGCGATAATCTGATACTTTAATTATTAGAAGAAGCACAGGGCAGATGCAACAAAGAAGTTACACGCTTGGCGTTTTCAGAGAAGAACTCTTCAACGCATCTTGAAAAATCTGTCGAATAACAGTATTTTAAGAAATGACGTGAATATTCTTAAAATTTTTCTACAAGCAAGCCGTTTTTTTTTTATTATGTTTTTTTATTACGTCGTTATATTTATTTTATGCTTTCCTGTTATTTTAGCAGATAAAAGATTAGCATTTTCAAGGAGTAAAAGAAATGCGACGAGAATTCATAGCAGAGTGCAAATTTTCTATGTGTTAAAATAAGCTAATGACGTTTTTTCGCGCTGAAATCACATCTCAGTATATAAGCTTTGTCGTCATTTTGAATTATGTCATTATTGTAATAAATGAACGATATACATACACAATTATGAGAAAAATATGAAAATACAAGGCAGACACAATGATCGTTACCATCGATATACCACTATGTATTTATAATTCATAAATGTATTTATAATTCATAAAAGCAAATATATTTCTAGCGAAAATAGCATAAATTGACGTCAAACTAACGTCAACTTTGCTAGGATCTCTCTGCAACACATTCTAAGTGTAAATCTTGATTGATGTAGAATTGATACACCATTACGAGAGCAGTTTTTGACTGAATAATGTTGAATATAAGAATAAAAGTAGTAACAGAAACGGTTCAATGACTATATTTACATCGTGCGTTTAATTCGCGATCTGTACAAGGAATCCTGTTTATCCTATAGCCTATAAGTTATACAAAGGCACATATTGTATAGATCGTACAAGCGCACGTATAAACATACCATTAATCATCAGTGAGATAATTCTCTAAATGCTTTATTTTGAAACAAGACGAAAAGACCTGCAGTCGTTAACTTCCTATGAACGAACGGACGGATGATTCATCTTTTTGCTTTAATGATTAAATTTAAGATCGAGTGTATATATTTTAAAATACACAAAATTGCAGAACATTATCATAAGTGATCTATTCTCACTGTTTATTATTGATCTGTTATTACGATCTGAATATAATTGGCCGTGACGGAATTTTTACACTAAATGGCACTTAACGCCACGAGATCAAATGATAATCAAATGATTGAATTGAAGATCGATGTACACAAAACAGTCCTTGGTCCCCCACGACGGAATAGAAAGCTTCAGGTTGTAGAACAAGGTCTATGATCTAATCTGTTGTATGCGGCCAACTCGAGATTAAACAACAGCCATTTGTCTTATTTATCCCACAATGATATCGAAAGACTTTATTACGCAGGTAACCTAATGAAGAAAAAGAATTATTGAATTAACGAATTAATGAAGAATTAATGAATTACGAGAGTAGATAAACTATCAGATAAACTCAAGTTGCAGTAATAAGCTTGAGTATTAACGTCATTAGTTGATTACTTTACTCATCTGACAATTGCTAAATCGGTCATTAAACTTAGGACTTAATTCCCTGTTAATTGCGATTAATCTTATACCTAAAACGATATCAGAGCTGACTTCCTTCCAAGTTAATCAAGATAATAATATTCCAAGATAATAAAATACATTTTTTACAGTTATTCCAAGATAATAAAATACATTTCACATTATCTGTAAAATCAAATAGATTTAACCGCATCGATGCCACCTCGTCGCCAAGTTTTGAAAGATTAATTTTAGGTGCGCAAAGAAGAGGGAGGAAATTACAAGAGTATCTTTTGCCAAGCGTGTTCACCGATCATGCGAGAAATATGATAATCATTTGCGCAAATCGCAAAAAGAAAACGAAGTCTCGTGTGCTTAACACGTGAGTACTAACGTTACGCAACATTGATTATCATAAAATAAAACAGCGAATACGATATTGAACACTTACATTTTGAAATAAACTCATATAACAAATAAAATAATTGTATTTTAAACAATTAAAAATAAAAACAGATAAAACGGCATTTCTATAACATAAATATAAATTTTCCTTGAAAAATAAATTTCTACTTGAAAGCAGTAAAAAGTGAGCACACGTTAAAGAACTGATTAATAATCCAATAGTACCGCATCAAATTGCAAATAACGTCGTTGAAGAAACGCAAGTTGATATGGTGACTATCTTATCAGAAGTTACCATTTGAAGGGTTGCGTTCTCCATAACTGAAAACTTTTGATTTTATTATACTCGGGTCAAAGATAAACGGTTCATAAACCGTCGAACTAAGTGTGGAAAACAAGGCTGCAATTATTTCGATGAATTACAATAGGTCAGTATTGAAACTGCATAAATTATACATTATTCGTCCTCAAATGACAGAGAGAGAGAGAGAGAGAGAGAGAGAGAGAGAGAGAGAGAGAGAGAATTTACAATAACTAATCCCAGTATTTTCTTATAACGACAGATGTGACCAAATGTTTATGAAATAGCGAATTCGATTGGATGCACTCAGTATGCACTGGTGCACATTAAAACCGTTGCGCGTACACAGATTAATATAAAAATGTGTGTTAATATAAATACAAAAATGGATTAAATTATGAAATTCTCAATACATTTTATGTTGCTTAAAGTTAAATAAAATTAAAGTAAAATCTATATTTTATAATTTGAAATATTTGCATGCGGCTTTAATACGCACAGATGCGCACTAGAGTGTCCAACGAATTCGTTAAAACTATGATTATATATAGCCAATCATTAAGGAGTTTTTGCAATAACGAGATTCAGATATGATAAACGCTAAAATTATGTTATTTTTTTCTTAATTAATTGTTAAGAAGAAGATAATCTGACTTTAGTGTTCATTGTATCTGGATAAATGGTATTGCAAAAACTCCCTATTATTTCCATTAAAATTATAAAAGTTCAAACAATAAAACGTTTAAGAAAATCGCGAGAAATTTCAGGATAAGCAAGATTTAAATGACATGAAATGAGAGGATGCTAAAGATACCTGTACAGATAATCGCTAAATATATTCGATGAATGCAGTCTTGGCATTTATAGAACAAACCATACACGCAAAAACTTTTCGCTATAGAATTCAACTTCTGGGAAAAGAATGAATGACCAAGTGTATTTTCCTGCAAAAGCATAATATCAATTTTAAAATTGCCATTTCAGATACGAATCAGCAATTTTCTGTATCTTTGAATCAGTCATTGCGAATGGTCTTCATCGCGCTGACGTGATATTTCATACGTTAAAGAATGTGTTAACGTATTATAATTGCAAAATATTGTCATCAGTATTCGAGAAGTATACCCAAAGAAAGATTTACATTTTGAGCAATTATAAGAGAATCTGATGATAAACATCCTTCGTAGAAGCATGATATACTATGAGTTTTAATCATAGAATCTATAAATTGGTTTATTACCCGGAAAGCCACTACCTGCCTCAAAAGCTGACTTATCTTTCTTTCCCGTCTGTACATCCGATACGTCTATAGTCTCACACCTGTGTCAGCTTATTGCGTTTCGATAAATTTGCGCACCGATAACGCCGTCTTTTCTGTGACTATATCGTGGAAGAAACGCGCGCGAGCGGCTGCCGGCGATCATCCGAAACATCAGTACGCCGTTACATCATGCAAATGTACTATAATGATAAAGACGCCATGGCCATAGAAGTGTGAACATGACCATAGAAGTACTCTATGTGGTTTCTTTCGCGAGCAGCTGCTACATTCAAGGAAATATTATACTTGTACGTATGACTCATTTTAGTCGGGAAATACTTGAGATATAGGTAAATCGATGATCTTCTATTTAATTGTGATATATTATGTAACAGCAATAAACAGCAATGTTAAAAATGATTATAGCATTACAGTAATAATGATTTAACACTATATATTGCGCAATAACAATAATATATAATATATATTGTACAATATATTCCACGAACTTGCAGACTTGAACAAATATGAGAAACGGAAAATAATTTTTATTTTAACAAAAATATTTAACTTAATTTTTATAATCATTCATTTTCGTAATTACATTTTTCGTAAATTACTTTTCTTGATTTTGTATGGATATATATATATATATATATATACACACTCGTACACATACGTATTTCTTATCTATAATATGAAATAAAAATAGAACAGAATAAAATGAGAATAGATAGAACAAGAAATATATATATATATATATATAGGTCCCTTAATTACGTTTGTTTTGCAACTATCTTTTTTTATAATGTGACCTGCTTTACATCTTTTGTCTCGAAATCCTACTATTCCACAAATTTATCACAGCCGTCACAGTCAAGATCTCATGCGCATGAATGATGATCCAAAAATATCGACGCGGGAAAGACCCAGGATACAGACAAAGTTCTTATGGCGTTGCCACAAAGTACGGGTAGGAATCGAAGAATCGATCGAAAGAACGTGACGCTCACCTGCCAAATAGTTCGCCGATGATAGTTTCTACGTGTTGCGAATGCCTAAGAATCAAGCCCGTCTCGCCGGCGGTTACCTCATTCCTAAGTGCAGGATCGTTTGATGGGCGCGAGTTTCAGAGCGCGCTGTTCTCATACGGTACTTATATAGTTCCACGAATCGTTCAAAAGACCGCGGCCGACTGCCGTCGCGACTTCATTACTTGGCTACTTTCCACCACCACATCGCCTCCTTCACCACCGTATCTTCGTCGCCACCACTGCCGGCACCGCTGCCGCCGCCATCTTTCGAGTCTTTATGGCAGAGGTCGTCGTTCGGCCACCGTTATCGATTCCCGCCGATCGGCCTTTGGAACTTTACGAGCGGCGCAAATCCAAGGTTTACACAAAATCACTGTTACCTGCAAAATGATCCTCAGTATGATCCTCAATACCTAGAGTACCTCGAGTAGTGCACTATCACGCTATATTTTTATAGGACCTTTCAGGAAATATCTTCTACTTCGCGTTACCGTCAAAAGAAAATTGCAGAACTGAGAAAAAAAATACTAAATTTTAATAAATATTATTATTATTTATTATTTTGAATATTATCAACTAAACGTTTATTAAACATTTAGTAAACTAAACTTACAGTAACTAAATATTTATTCAATAAAAAGACGATAATTAAGTCAAATTAATGGTTTTTGTATCTAAATATAAATATTTTAATATAAATATAGTTAAGTCAAATTAATGTTAATATAAATATTTTAATTATAAATTAAATATTTAGATATTATTAGTTATTATATATTAAGTACTATTCTCAAACAAATGACTTATTAAAATTTAGTACATTCTCTTCAGAGTATCGTTTCGTTGTATGTGGAACTGAACGAGATAACTTGAAAAAAAAAAACAGGAAAAAAAAGTGAACTTGTAGCTTCCACATCGTCCCTCACCTAAATCCGTATCGTGTGACGCGCCAGAAATGGGCGCCTGAAGACGTCTAACAATAAGTCTGGCCTGCACGTGGCTCGTTGACTTCTCGATTTGAATGCACTCGGCGCATGATGAAATTCGGCGAGCCTATGTCATGCTCGCCATTGTGACACGCTGCTATCCGTTACGACGTCAACGATGTGTGTCGCGCGCGTTCATTATCGCGTGTGGTTCATTATCGTAACACGAGCGCATGGGATACACGATTTTTGCTATTACCGTCAATATAAATATTATATAATCAATGTCATATTTAGACCGTTCAAAATGAGCGATGATTAGATATAATTCTCCTTGAAGAAACTCGCATAGTTATAGTATTATCTGCAAAAAAAAAATCTATAGTATTACCTGCAAAAACATTCTTAAATACATATTTAATAGAAAATTATTCCGGAACGTTTCACATTATGAAACGCTTTGTAATTGAACTAATTTTGTCAGAAACTCATGACGAAATGTTTTAATTTCGATATTTAGGGTCACAGAATAGGCCAATTATGTACTTCAGTTCAAGTTCAGCCGTCTAGAATGTTAATTCGTCTTCACTTAGTAGGGCGATGGCGGGACCGCAATTTTGTCCAATCGAACATTGGTCGTACGAATAATTAGTCGGATGGACATCGTAGGCAAGGTCACAAAAAAGACAGGCTTAACTTGTGTATAAATGATAAAGACGGTCAAAATGATCCACAAATTAGAGGTTTCACATGAGAACGCCAACCATGTCTGAAATTAAATATCCGGAATATCATACCAGTAATATGATAAGAGTGCATGCAACAGTTTTGCTGCTGTGTCAGAAAAACCATGTAAGAACGATAACTCTATTATGCGTATTCTGTTCTATATTTTCATCAATGACGATTTTATTAATTGTAATTGAAAATTAACGTAATCAAATATGTATAATAATACATTTAAAATATAAGAGATCTCTCTTTGAAAGATCCTATTTAAAATTCGAAGAAATTAATTAAGTATCCACATAAAGATTTTGCAAGAATAAATAGAAATTATACAGAATTAAAAGTAGTAATTAAAATCTTTCAAAACATATACATATAAACATAGCTCGAAAGCTCTAAAAATATACAAAACGTAACCCTAATATTTACTTTAAATTCCACTGAAGTTACGTTTCTTCTAAAGCCACGAATTGCTATCTGTGCAATAAACAGTAATAAATTATTAATTAAATCAATTATATCATAAACATGCTTATTTTTTTTGTTCGTTCTTCTGTCAATCATTTCATTTAAAAGATCTATTTGAAGCTTGAACTTTGATAGACGAAACAGTGTCAAGTCATTGACACGTCAGTGGCAAGCGTAGCTGTCAATATTGTCAATAATCTCGATCATGCTTCAAAATTTTCTTACTATTTAAAATTTATCTCCAGTGAAATTTTCACGTATTAGCATTACAGTATTCAATTTCGAGGACAGTTCAATTAATGGAAAAATTTATTATACAATCAAGTTGAAATTAATCAATCAATCAATCAACCGTTCAACAAGAGCAATTTACTTATGTAATATCATTGAAAAATATTTAATCAACAATGTTAACCGGAAAGAACAATATGGTCATGTACGAGCAAGCCCCCTCGAGTGTATGCAAGGAGCATTACTTATTTTTGTTGGAATTATACGTTAAACAGGCGTCAGGCGACCGCCTAACCAAGTTGAATCGGATGTTTTTCATACCTACCAGCGTCCATTTTGGATTCCTCGACTTTGTAAATGAGAATGATCTAGTGATCACTCCGGTAAATCCCCTTTTCCAACCGCAAGTAGGCATCATTGATGAAGCTGAAGTATTCAATGTTGGAAAATCAGTATTGTTCACTATCGATTCTGAGGCGGCTATGAACCGCGCTGCAAAAATGATCCTTAAATTCACGGTGAAGAAGCAGATGCCAGAGGCCATCAAGCCGGATGTCTTAGTAGGAACTGGCGAGCTGGACTTGTCCGGCCAGTATGCGGCTTTGCGAATAGAGATGATGGACTGGAAAAATGGTGTTACAATGCCCAAAGAGTTTGATGGTCAAGTGCCATTGATTTATAATGATAACTTGACGGACAATCTGGATATCTTTGTAAGAATCTCTGGTCTCGGACAGATGATTGTCACAGAATTTGACGCACCAATCGCACAGGATCCTTCAACATTTATTTTCGGCGCTGGAGAAGCTGATCAGATTTTATTGTACAAATGTCGCAAAGTGGACTCTCGTATTCTTGATGTTTTCGAAGGTTCCTGCGAGGATTTTCAAAGACCAATAACTTTTCCTATGTGCATACCAGAGAAGTATCCTTGTATATCGTGTGGGAAATTAGCAGCTGTTGAAAAGAGGAATGAGAAAATAAGAAAAAAAAGAATCGATGGGATGATTGAAAGAAAGGATACAGTATGTATTTAGAAAATTAAGAAATAATTCCTCGATTAGACATCTAAGCTCAGTTCTGATTTTTCAGCCATCAAAAGATTCTGTTCGCGATTCGTCTCAGCCTTGCGGCAAGCCGGTAATTCTTAAAGTATCCGGTCTCTTCGATAATGGTGACAATCTCGGAAAGAAACCTACAATAACAGTTGCCGCAGAATCTGCAGCAACGAAACCAGGCAAGCCATCTGATCCTGACCATGATATTTTTGTTTTGAGAATCGGTAAAAAGGGCCTCGTTGGGGTTGGCGAGAAATCTGATATACAGCTAGAGATGAAAACCCCGAAAGGACCTGAAAGAAGGCCCCCGATTAGATATGAGACCAGAGATGTGCAGACAGATGAGCGCCGCAAAGAACTGCCGAAAGAGCAAATTAAGAAGAAGATTAAGAAGAAAAAATGAAACACTTCTTTATTTAAATTCAAGAGTCAAGTTCTTATAATATTCTAAGCATAAATCTAAGGAATTAATTTTGTATCTTTTCTTATTGTCAATTTTCGATTTTAATACATTTGTTTGTTGATACAATTGTTGTGTAATAAACATGTATTTACATTAAAATTTTTTAGATTTTAATTTTTTCTTTTTATTAATTAAATTTTTTATTCCTTTAAATTTTTACTTTTTA